CCTCCCCTTCCCTTCCCTTCCCTTCCCTTCCCTCCCATTTCTTAGCCATGAAGGACAGTGATGAGGCAGTCTCTATTTTTTCAAGAAGACTTTCGTTTAACTCAAGGGTGGCAGATACTAACATGCTCGATAAAGTTTAATGATGCGTAGAGTTTTGAAAACACATATGAACCAAGCACAAAAGAATTAGTAAATATAAGGGCGGAGGCCGTAGAAACCAGAGAAAGCGAAATGTCTTCCCATCTGCGTGTTCTGTAACTCCTGTCATAATGGTCTGATATTGCTATCAGACAATATGAACTCTGCCCTTACTCAAATAATGAACAAGAGTAAATATAAATTTGAATTTAAATAATAATGGGACAATGAAATCATGGCAACCAGGAAGAGTGGAAATTGAGCTAGTATTTAATGGACATATTTATAATTACTCCTTTAATCTTGTTCTTAAATAGCATTGTTCTTTAATAGCAGTCTGTGCAGTGTTCTCATGTTAGATAATTTTCAAATTAGTAAACTAAAAAGGAATAGCACCTTATGACTTCAATTAAAGAAAACCTTAAAATTTATATTCTCATAGAGACCTCACTGCAAAACTTATAAAATACCCAGCAAATCTAAAAATACAAGCCTTTATTAAATTAAGGCTCAAAATAGCTTTAATGTGTAATCCTGTCTTCCTCAAACTAGTAAATTATTCCTGTAGAAATTTATTCCTTTACGGAACTCAGCATTTTGCAAACTATACATAAAAATGAAGCATAGTGCTTTTGGTCAAATGTGGGTTTTTTTCAATAAAAGAATAACAAAATGTTTTAATCTGTAAAGTATATAACTGCTTAAGCAAATAAGGGATACAGTTTGAAAATGTTGCAATGTGCCTCCAAAAATAGTTAATCATAACTAAACTTACTTCTTGTAATTTGTAGTTAACATCTGTTGGATGACATAAGAAATTTCAGTTATTACGTAGCGATGTTCTTTAAACTTATTAACTGTATGCAGTTGTCAAATTCTATGAAATTATTAGTGATAGTTGGTATGATTTAGATAATTTCTTTTCAACAAAAAAAAAAAAATTAGGAAATCCTCATTAATTATCAAAATTGGTTATGTTTCGTACCAAAACCAACTCTGGTTTAATTGACCACTCTAAATCCTGAACTCTGGACATCAGAAAAGGTTTAACTCCAATTATCACTCTATAGCTTTGGAAAGACTGCTTCAGAATTAAAGGACTTTCAAAAAATATGAAGAAACACTGCCTGACAAATGACTGTCAGGGAATGCTTTACCAAATATAATCACTGATATTATTGTAATAGATCACTTATAATTATCACTTATAGATCACTTATATTAATCACTTATATATTATATTATATAATCACTCAACCAAATACATCACTTTTGTTGTGTACAAGCTGTAAAACCAAAGCAGGAGCTACGGTTTTTATCTTCACAAAACGTTAAGATTTCTGTCCCACTCCTGTTCTACCCAGGGGTACTATATTTGCAGATTGGTAAACTGACTTTTCCTGCTAAAAGCGGTCCAGGCGACATGGCTAGATACAGCTCCTGGCTAAATGTGTGACATGTCAGGTATTGAATTACTAGGAAGGATGATTATAACTTTTTGGAAGCTCTGCTGCTTACGTACCATTATCCGTATTTTCCACTAGTCTCCGTTCAGACTCCAAAAAATGGAGCTCAGTCAACATTTGTTCTGTGCAGCTGCCACTATGTGGGAGATGCTAAGATAAAGTATGCTAATTACATCTTTAGATTAATGGTAGAATTTTGCAGAACTGGTAACAAAGAGATTGGCATAGGAATCCAGGCCTGTAACATGCACAGCGACGTGTGAGAGAGGGTGAGGAGAGGGTGCGTGTGCTGGGAACTTAATGAATGCATGTTCTTGCAGCATACGTAATTCTGGCTCTTGGTAATTCTAATGAAATACAGCAGTAATTACAGTAAAATAGAAATATTTCTCAAAGATGTAACTGTAAACATATTTTTGTTTTTCCCTTCACAATTAGGGAGGGTACAGAAAAAAATGGGTTGCTCGCTATTCTTCAGACAGCATTCAAATTAATTTTGTGTGATCAGGGAATGTTTTTCGTTGAACATTTATTCTATGCACTAGGAAATGTGCATAGAAGAAATAAGGAAAATATCCACAGTGGTGTTCAAAATATGAAATGTAGGTTAAGATAACTAAGCCTGCACATGCAGCCATTTTAAAGCCTACTTTCATCTTTCATCTCCCCAGTCCCCCTGTTTTTGTTTTGTCTTTATTCTAGCTCTATTTCCATAATAGGGTGGAGCCTTGGATTTTGCAGATACCGCTCTGTGGAGACCATATTGATACCACCCTGTTTGCTTTTGTGAGAGCAGGCGCTATCTGAGTCCATCTGAGAGGCTTCCTCAATGTAACAAATATCCTGTTTGCGATAAACACAGGACTGGAATGAGAGGTTGGGATGGAAGGATGGATAAAATTTTACTGTGTATGGGAAGCAATACGTGATTAAAACAATCACTAACAGGTACATGGAAAGCTAGAACTACGTTGGTGAAAGGAGGCCCTGTGTATGAGAAATAAGCAGAACAAACAGGAGAGAATTATCCACCATCTTGACTAAACATTCAAAAGTAATGTAGTTCACAAAAAATTTTCAAGTGAACATAATGTTCATATGTATCTATCCACATGTTTCGTGTTGGCTACTGAAGTAGTTGCACTGGAAAACAAAGAAGGTAACATTCTGCTGTGGCTGGATGGCAGTATTTTAACGTGAAGAAATAAATACAACCACCAAAATACCTCTGTACTGGAATATACAGTAGTAAATATTCTCCAAAGAACAGTTCTGTATTAATACAATTGTTCTGATCCCAAAACACAATTGATTAAAAATACATTAAAAAATTATTTTCAGTAAAACAAATATAGAAAGGACTAGCTTTCTTAAGCAAAGCATCGCTTCAGGGATTTTTAGTCTCTGTTTCAATTACGGACATTAGCATAAAATAATAGACCAATAATTTAAGCTGGATATCAAACAAGTTTCTATAATTTTTATTTCCAGGGATAAGATTTTATCTATTCTTTTTGGTTAATACCGCTGTCATTCTGTAAACCATTGGTATTCAATAATTAATTTGGTATTAAAACAAACACTAATGTTAACACAAACAGTAGAGGCTTGTACCAAAGTCAATTACCTCAGTGGAAATGCTGCCAGTGATTTCAGTTGGTGTACTGTATTTGTCATAAATCTACATTTATGACAAAACCCAAAGAAGGTCATCTATGAATGTTAAAAAATGGCAGATTTTTCTTATTTAACAAGTGAAATCTGCTTATTTGACTCTAACCGATCTTGATGCCATTACAAGATACCATTCAACTATGTCCCTTTTGAATTTGTAAAGCTGAAAGTAAAATATTGGACTACTCATATATCACAACTGTCCTAGGTGCAGACAGGTTTTAAAAATACATTTGAGTTTTCTTCAATAAAATTGCTTGGCTGCATTCTCAGTGTCTCTCATTATTTATTGAAGCAGATTTTGGGCTGTTTCTCACTGGGGGCATGTGTGTATGTCAATTTTAAATGTATTAAGAGAGAGAGTGCATTACATATTTGCATGGACTCTCAGAGCTTTCATTATTGCAATCATTGTGAGCAGTGTAGCATCTACCTCCCATTTGTAACTGTTCATCGTTCCTGAAGCAAGTACATCAAATGTAGTTATGGGTGAACTGGAAAATCATTAACTCAGTCTGAAATATTTTGTACACTTTGAGGATTTTGCTGCGGAGGGGAGGGGTGGAATTAAAGGGAGAAGCCCACATTTCAGTTGCAGTAGCTGTAAAGAAAAAGAAAGCTAAAACCATTGACCTCATGGCTTTGTAGTGGTCACCAAAGGTGCTCTGTGGATCACTGAAGATCCTTATTCAACGCGGTATATATAAAGAGAATCCTAATCTGTCCTTAGTAAGATACTGAGCCTTTTTTGGGGGCTGTGGTTCTCCAGTATTTTATGTTGCATCACTATGCAGCCTGCTAGCCCAAAAAGATGTACAGGTCTTCTCAGTGATGCTGTGCAACCACTCTGTCCTGCAAGTAGCAGAGGGAGAAAAAGACACAGAGTCCCTTTCTAGCAGGTTACTCAGAAATACATCTCTGTTTCTCCCCCAGTTACTCTCAAAGTAGCAGTGCCATAAGGTACTATGCAGCATAAGAAAGGAAGACAGAAAGTGTCTATATGCAGGATGAAAAAACCCCACCTCTCTTTAAGTACCAGAACTGATTCTCTACAGGATTGTGCTGCTAACTGTTTACTTAAGAAAAACTCCAAAGGGCTGATCCTTTTTTTTCAGGGAAGGTCTATAGGATGACACTCCATATCCCAATTGAAACTTTTAATCTATATTTTAATATTTCATGGTTTTATTTTTAATCTAATTCATTTGAGTTATTCAAGCATTAAATTACATCTGTAATATACGGGTTTCTTGTGTAATTGCTTTTAAACTGCAGATCCTGTATGCTAGATGTTGGTTGGCTGACTGTTCTATTCCTATAACAAAACCTCCACCACCAAAAGCTCCTAAGCAAATCAGAGGTAAGATAAAGCAATATAAAACTTACAGAGCAATTGTTGGCACTATTTACAACACAGCGCTTATTCAGTACATGCAAGCATTACATTTTGTATTTGAAATGTATGGGGGGAACCCTTGTTATGTAAAATAAAGTTGGAATTTGTTTAAGCGAAAAAGGGAATCTGTCTTCCATCATGGCTCCTTCTTTATATAACTATAATGATTCCAGTTTTATAATACCTTTCTGGAGAACATTAGGTCTCTTCACTACTATCAAACACCTACCAGGAGATTACAGTATTGCCAGAGCAATTGCTTCACTTTTGTTCCTGAAACAGCCCATTCTATTGAAGCTGTTAACTTGAACACTGTGATAGGAGCCTTTTGCAGAGTCCTCAGTAATTATCATCACTGACAGCCATCTAAAAGCTGGAACAACTGTCTATCTTAGATGCATAGCTTTTGGAAATAAGCTCTTAAAAAAAATCAGTTGAAACCAAGGACACTTCCTGCTGGGGATGCTACATGTATCTATAATGAAAGTTAACTATCAAGCAGTGTATTTGGCACACTTTCCAGATATACAGTAAAAAAAGTCAATTTTAAAGAACAAAGGAAATCTAAAAACTTCCATAAGCTAATTAGATTGTAAGCATCATAATTCTTTCAGGTTCACTGTTCACTATTTTAAAACTTATCTATCAGTAACACACAATTTATTTCTTCACTTTCTGCTGTAGACAAATGACACCATGGGTTTGCTGTAACATTAAGAAACTCTGAGAAAACAATGAAAAGTATGTAGAAAATATATTAACAGAGATTTCTGCAGGACTTTTAAAAAGGAGAGTAACAAAATACTGAAGAATGACACAACTATTTTATCTAGTGAAAGGGCAGAGCAAAGATGAATTCATAACATGCTTATGTAATAAAACAGGAATACTTAAAAAAATGGCACATTTAAAATTTTTTAAAGGACAATGCAAAGGACTGTTTTTAACTTGGTGTAAGTATAAAGTACTTTGAACAACAATCTATTAGTAAAAACATTAAGGCTTTAATAGTGAGCCTTTAATATCACAACACACCTTCCTTAGCATTATATTACACATTTTAACACACAAAAGCATTTTAGGGCAAAACTTTAAAGTCATAACATAAACATTTGGATCTATTCCACAAATTTTCTCTTGAGGGGCTACAGCCTAAATGTAGAATGCTTCTGTTTTCTACAGTACAGCTTCAAAATCACATTTGTTACCTATACAATGCAGCACTTGAAATTAATGATGTATTACTGAAATAGCTGCAGCCCAGTTATGTTTCTGTTGCCCAAATCTATCCTATCCGATGTGCTTGAGTGTGAGTTCTAGCCTCAGAAAGCTGCAAAAATACTTTATCATAAGTAGTTTTACCTTGTCTGGCTTGTAAGCTTAAAGCCAACTATAGATTCCTTATGTAGGCCAACTGCTTCAATGTTGATGACATCATCCACTTCTGGCTCCGTAGCAATGAACAGCATTGGAAACTTCCAAACACCTCCTGTAGTGCACTGTACTACAAGAGTTGCTTCGTTCCTTAAAATTTCAGATAAAAACATTCAATACATAAAACAACATTCTAGAACATAAACTGAGTAAATTGATGTCCAAAATAAGCCTCGAGTGTGTAGAACTATACTACAGTAAAATGAAAATACAGATGGCTTTAAATTGGAATACATCCTTAATTTTATGTGGCATAGTACGTATCAGTTGCACTTAGACTGGAATGTAGACTAAGTAGCACTTGATATTTACAGCAAAGTACAAGAAAGGACATAATGTGAAAGCAAAATGATGGGCACAGCCATGAGATTTGATTATTCTTCTGCTTACTCTCTGTTGAGTTAGATTTGTTTAACTCAATTTGTTTTACTCATTATTCTTTATTTACTGTGGTGTTAGAGGAGAATTTGGTACAGAACATGATAGCAGTTCATATTAGAATCAAATAGATCTGACGAAGGTCTATGTACTTTAGAAAAATTCCAGACTCCGATGTCTTCAGACCATCTAAGAAGAGAGTTGGTGCTGTAGATTCTGAAGATAAAGAAATTAATTAATTGCAGTCATTGAGTCCTCTACATGAAGCCTGACAGATCTCAAGTACACAAAGATAAAAAACCAAACCAAACCAAAAAAAATAATAAAAAAGGACAGAGTAGAAATAAAAAGCATTTCTAAATTAACCTCCCCTCTGACACAATGACACTGCATGAGGTGGGTGGATAGTCTTTCCTAAAGGTTTGCCCTCTGTTTATTTCAGTTCCCTCCTGCATCCTAAAAATACCCTCTTTGCATGCAACCCATGATAAGCAGCAGTGACCGCTCCCTAATCTTCCTGGTAATGTTGAGCCTCTGAATTTACCGTGTGCCTGCATCTTACTGAAGCTTCTTTCCTCCCCATACATATTTGACCACTTCAAAAGGAAGGCACAACTCCCCTCTCTCTCCAAGAAGATCTCCCTTTCACAGTTTCTTTTTAAAGAGGTGGGATGTACTAATGTAAAGCAAATCCACCATTTTTCACGTCGCAGCTATAAGAGAGGATAATATTTTCCTGTGAACTGTTGTTACTGGGGCACTAGAGACTAATTTCAAATTCAACCATCCCAACCAGCCAAAGAATATGCACACATTCTCGTCTAGGAAAAGTTTTTCAAGACTGACAAACCACCTTGTCTGTATGCTTTCTGCGAATTTTGAGAAAAACTAATTTTCATTGGAAGTCTTTCAATACTCCAATGTTTAGAAGTAAACTGATGCACACACAGACTAAGGCAGTAACTCAACAGAACCATCTAGCAGGCATTAAAAATAAACAGTCAGTTTTAATACCAAAGATATCATACTGAGAAGTAGCAAGTGAGAAAAACTAAAATAATATATCTCAGAGGTGAAAACAAAATGAGGAAAACAATGCAGGGAGGTGCTTACATCGCTACGAGTGACCAGACGGGATTTTATTGCATGTTCTGTTGGTAATAAGGAACAGCAGCTTACCTCATTGGTTTGTTAGGTGCAAATACTATATTAAAGATCAGTGTTATGATTCCAGATTCTGTATCCCGTTCTCTTTGAATCAGATGCATACCAACCAAAGCTCCAAGCTGAGATTTAGTTTCATTTGATTGATATTGTAATTCATACAGCAATTCCACTGTTGTAGAGAAACCTAAATGATACAAGAGGAAGATCAGTCTCTGTGCACTCTAACCTCACACAGTTGGCTGGCTAGTAGTTACAATTCTTTCATTTGTTACTAAAAATGACAAATAAGTAAAACTAGTAATTGTCCAAAACTTGAGTGATTTGCTCCTGACTACATAGCACAATCTTCCAATTTCATATGACAGGCTATATAGTTTCCGGCAAAATGAGAGCTGGAGAACATACTTAGGAGAAGGGAACAGTAATAGCAATATTGTTCTGGCTACCACTTCTGCATTACGGTGAGATATTTCTAGTTCATCAGTCAAATGAAAATTGCAAGAATGTAATACTATTTTTGAGTAATGCCATTGGGACAATCTCAAAAAAAAAAAAAAAAAGTCATTAAGGACATCAGTGCTATTGATGGCTGTAAGCCTGAGAAACACCCTACAGAAAAATAGTGAAGATGTCACTAGCAGCCTCTTCCCTTATTCCCTGTAGCAGCTATGAAAAGGCCAAGCAGTAATAACATAAGAATAAACAGCTGAGCTTCTTGAATCAAATGTCTCCTCCAGCTGTAATAAAGAAAACTGCGATACTCAGTATACAATAGTAATTTGTGCACAGAAGGGAACGTTTCTATGAGGAAAAGAATCTCAAGCTGCTAAGCTATTTAAAAATTTTACACGTTTTATGGATGAAAAGTCTTTTAACACAACCACTAAATCCTACAGGAGATTTCATTTTTCTATGACCACATACCTCAGGGCACATTTTAGATTTGCACAGCTTACTACAGTGTGTTGGGCAGAACTCCTTTGTATGCTTCCCTGTATATGCTGGCTATAGGGTGCCAATCAGCTGCAGAGACAATTCCAAGTCCTTCCAACTTGGAATTCTAAAATACAGCCTACATGTTTATTTTTATATCAAGTCCAAGAAACAATGCACTGTGAGATATCTGAACAAAACCTTACTTCGTTTTTGCCAATCTGTAATGCTACTCAGTGTCAGTGAGTATGGAGGTGCCTTCCTATGCTTGCAGTCCTGTCCCCTTTTCTGACATGCACAGATTCCTTCTTTCCATTTCATTCAACTTTTGTTGCCAATGTTTTTGTAACACACAGATTAACCCTAAGAAATGTAGCAGCTTATATTGAAATATTTCTGACTCTTTAAGTGGATCCTTCACACAGACATCTGTACAATTTACGCTAGATCAAAGAGTTACACAGACGTAAGCAAAATATTATTACCAACATATAGGATTATCAGCCATATTAGATACACACTGAGTACCGAATATAGAGGATTTCCATGTACTAATCCATCTATTATAAATGTACTTTATTACAATAAATGCACTTTGTTATCATGAAATTAAACATTTTTCCTACAGTTTATAAAATTCCTGGGATCATCCTACATTGTTCCACGCTTTGTTGTTTCTCTATTTGAACAATATAATGTTTATGCCATGCATTCAGATTCCAACACAGCCCAAGGCTTATAGTAGTCACCCTAGACAAATGCCAAAACATGAAGATTCAGCCATAAAAATTCACTTCTTATGGGAGAGAAAAGATGACATAATTTAGAGCATTCCACAGTGAGAAAATCGCAACTGTTGAGCAGATGTTTCCTTCAGCAGTTATATCACACAATGCTACTCAGGAAAAGCTTATTTTATAGTTCAGATGCTAGGACGAAAATGTTGTGAATTGCATGCTGCTTTTAGTATCCAAAGACATTTGGGCTTGGTTTGACATACGTACAGAGCAACTTTTAGTCAGAAGCAATTAAGTATTTGTATTTTTTCTGCCTCAGGCTGTTTTGTAACCTGTTCTATGCTCATATTAAGCATTTAGTTAAAATATTTTAATATTTACAACACCTAAGGAAAAATGATGCATTTATAAGTGCCAGCATTTGAAAGCTTCATCATGCTGGTGCCTTAGTTTGTTTTGATCCACACTGCCGATGTAGTTCAGGACTGTTCAATAAAGAAAAATGTAGTTAGATTTTCATCACAGCTGCCCTGAAGACTACTATATTATCATACTATGGGAAGCCTCTGTGAATATGTTAATATTTGGTTCTAGACAATTCCATAATACACGTGCTGCCTAAACAAACTGGCAGAAGCTAGAGGCAAAAAAATGTTGTGAATCATTACTAGAAATTTGTCCACATTGTCAAATGTTCAGAGTTCTCTTGACTCTTAGAATTTCCAGTTTCAATTAAAATGGTGACATAAATAAAACATTGGAGAAAGAATTAACATTTTCTTTAAAGTAATGCCAAATACAATATAGCATACGATTCAAATATGCCTTGACTCTTTAGCCCAGTTCTTTGTATGTTTTCATTCACTAGTTTTCTTTTTAAAAATCACCAGTTTAATACAGGTAAAATTCTTATTTTATTTAATGCAAATTGTAAAATTGACAAGCAGATATAAAGTATACCCCAATTAATCCACCTCTGTTCTGTAAATAGAGAGCAGCAGGGAGTTTTAACCACATCTGACTCAACATAGAGGTATTTATCAATCCAAACACTGGGAAGATATAAGCATACTATTTATATACAGCTTGTTACATCTAGGGAATAGAAATTCCAATTATAGAAAATATTACTTCCTCATACTTCCTGAAGAATATTACGCATTAGGAAAAGGAGTAAGAATATGTTTTTGAGGTAATTATTCCAAGACAATTTTTTTAAAGCATTAAACATTTCTTGTTTTGAAAGGCAATTAATCTCAGTCTTTAAGCGTCTTCCTTTGTGTAAATAATGACTTCCAAGAGGTAGTACGCATTTAGGCAACATTTGTGTATGCAGAATTACTGAAGCAGCTATGTTTAAAAACCAATAAGGTTTTTTTAGCTATATAGTTCTATGACTTGGCTGCCATTTATTTTCAAGTGCTAGTAAGGATACTTTTGAAAAAGCACTAGAATTAAGAAAAACACAAAATAAGAACCTCAGGAATTTAAATTACTTTTTAGTAGAAAAGAACCTGTACTCAAGCTTCAAAAGAGTTAATTACAAAGACATTGATGGGCCTAATGTCTACAGAAGGTACTGTGAAAGGCACACTGGATATATCTGACCTGGAATAGTGTTTCACACTGTCATTAGAGAAGCCTTTGTACCTCCCTCCTGGTTTTGAAAAGCAAATCGGTGTTTGACTTCACTGAAGACCAGCTCATTACACAATGTGTTTTCTGATGATAAAAATCTAATGGACACTGGCTTGTGAGGCTGCAGTCTCTTGTGAATACCTAAAGGAGATAGTACTTAATCTGCAGTGGACTTGGTGACATAAAAACAGCAAGGGGAGGGAACTTTCTAAGGGACCCTCCTTACTTTCACACTGTCTCCCATTTCCAATGAGACAGGCGGAAATTAAAGCTGTGATGGAAAGATGTTTAGACTGCAAAAACGCTTGTCATTACAGAAGCTTTTCCTTGGATAGATGCAGTAAGACAGAGATGCAAGTGAATGCACTCAGTTGGCCTTCCTCACCTCCCATTCAGCAGGCTGCAATCTTACTTGCAGTTATTTAATAAAGGAGGTCAGCACAATCACAGAATACAAACACAGAATGAAAGCCCAGCCATTCATAAACTTGCAGCTTCATCTTTGTCAAAAGCTAGATAAATTGTTTTATTTGGTGCTGAATGTAAACATATTGCACTCTCTCGCTGATTTTTTTCCGCTGGTTCTGCTAATTCAAGGCTAAGTATCCATTGTGGCCCTGTCACCAAACGAAGATTTCTTCCCCTCTTCATCTAATAGTCTCCAAACCGGTAAAATAGAAACTACAGGACCAGACCTTAACTATTCACTTCTACCAGACAGCTGGCGTCTAAGGTTGACCTTCCAAACCTTGTGAAACATCTTTCTTCATAACCCCATTCAGCTCTCATCTGACACTTGTCCTTTTCCTGCTTTTCCACTGTCTTCCAGGAGTCTTCACACACACTGCTAGAACTCAGTAGGCAGTGGGGAATGAACATGAAGTATGCAGTTATGCCTTAGCAGCAAAAGCAGCAGCAGACAGAATACATTACTGTACAGTAGATGAAATCGTTCTAATACAGGTTTCAAGTAAATATTCAAGTGAATAACAAAAGTGAATGATAAGAGTAATAAAGGAAAAAAATAAAAGGAAGCCTGGTGGTCAAGAACATCCTAACATTTAAGTAGACAGTATCATCCGGGCAGTAAGAAATGTATCTCATATGGGAAGTAAATATCTGTTTCTCACTGTAAAATGTTGTAACTCCAGGATAATAGCAGCAGAATAAACAAATTGCACAAGAACCCAAAAAGACCTGGTTGGAGTTGAATATGCCTTGCGCTAAATTTCTTCATACAGGCACAGTGCTGTATGTAGAGCATTATAAATATCAGCAAAGATAACATCATACACTTCATTAAATGCCAGATACCAAATTACCTTAAATAGACAGAAATAAATGGATAATAAAGTGGTCTCCTTCTGTTGATAATATACTCATTGATCCTCAATGCAAATCAAGGATATCCTCAGTGTAGTTCTGTGTATAAATCTTGATATCTCTTCCCTGCAAATTTATTTCTCTTTCCATATCCAATTAAAGCTTTTCATCCATATCTTTCAAGGCTCTGCAAAATTCCACTCTTAGCCTCATCGTTTTTTTTACCCTGCATCCCACTGCCTATTCCCCTAGCAACCAACTTCAACATTTCTTTTCTAAATTTTCTCTTACATTTGATTTTTCCGTTTGCTAATTTTTTTCTCTTTCAAAACACTTCTTTAAAACAGATTTCTACTGCTAAAGCAGATTTCTACTGTAAAGAAAGCAGTAGAAAGCACTTCCCCCCTTTTTTTTGGAGAATGTCTTTCTTCAGAACACTGCATCATTTAGCGAATAAAATGGAAATTTGTGAATCCATGTATATGAAATACACGGCATGCATCTAGCATCTGCTCTTCTGCATACATTTCTGCATTCTTCCTTGCAGCTAGTT